GTGGAGGCGGCAGGCCACCTGTCCTGTATCACAAGAACTGTCCAGAAAGTATCCAGCCATGTAATACCAAAAATAGAGACACATATGGCTAGATATTTTTTGGATAGCCCTTGCATAGATAGCGATAATGATAACTATAAGGCCCACTGGGAACCCATATCTTCATGTATTCATATTAGAAATAAGACCAATAAATATTCTAATAAGTTGGTCTTATCTTCGGGTGTTTTTTTTTTTTGCAGTTTTTGGCTGGGGCTGGGTTTGAACCCACCACCTCCGGCATATGGGGCCTGCGCCCGAGTCCTTTGAGCCACAGGCACCGCCCTCTTCTGGTGTTTTGAAAAAAATCAATGAAGCACATATTTTAATAATGGCTCTTATATACATTTTAATGTATGTTAACCGTGGTGAGTAGGCACTTGATATTAGCAAATGAGGAAATCTTAAAAGATATGTCCCACTGAGCTAAAGAAACAGTTATCATTAGAATTGGTAGCACAAAATGCAGGTAATTATCACATTTTGATTTAACTTAACTAAGATTTGGGTATTATAGAATTATAGAATGCATATAGTCATATTCTCTTTATCTGTATGAACATGATAATGCTTTTAAATGTTGCATGACATGGAAAACCAGAGAAGAAACTGAATTTTTGCTACACTCACCATAGATCCATTTTCTGGGCTAATTTTCCCCTCTTGCTCCTTTTATATAAATGACCTTTCTCCTTTTTTTGCATAACACTCTGCACAGTCTTTGGGTATATCAATTGTACTAAACTAAAATATGGTTTGCATTTTAACTAATTGTTGACACACACGTGTTACTCACTCTTCTTTGGGTTGAGTATAGAGACTTTTTGGATTAATCATATTGTCTTCAATGTCAAGCACAGTGCCTGACAGAAGGAACAGAAAAAAACAGCTCCTGGTAGGGAGAGAAAACCCAAGTTGAGAGAGAAAAGTTCTCTCTGTTTTCTCCCCATCTCTCTCCAACTCTCCCATGTAGGGGAGAGTTGCATAGGTGCATGGGTTCCTTCTAGATGAGGCCAGGAAATGAATTTTATCAAAAAAGTCATAGACTGTAATTTTATCCAAAAGATGCGCACAGCAATGCCCTTACTAAAGAGGGAAGGAAGGAAGGAAGGAAGGAAGGAAGGAAGGAAGGAAGGAAGGAAGGAAGGAAGGAAGGAAGGAAAGAAGTCTATGAATTCAACAGAAGGAACAGAAAAAAAAAAGATGAAGAAAGGGCAGAAAAGAGGAATGATGGGTGAAAAGAAGAAAGTAAACAAAGTCTCTTTACAGTACTTAAATCTCACTAACTATATCATTTAAAAATTCATGTCTTAATGAGGGCATTAGCAGGGAACACATGAGAAAATTATTTGTAGGGAAATAGAGTGTCTTCCCAGACTCCTTTAAATCTTATCAAATGAACTAATTGTTCAGTACACTTTTTTATAATAAGGGTTCTCCTGGGAGCCAAGACAGACTAAAATAGTGATAGTTCAGGGCCTTGTGAAATAATGTAAAGAGAACAAGGAGGGGGAAAGACCTAATTAAAGCAAGACTGATATGTTAGCAAGCATTCCAGCCAAGTGGCAGGTATATATTCTGTACAAATCAATGTCCACTGGAATTCTTATCATTTGTTCATGTGCAATGGCTTACGTTCCTTTTATTCTCTGCTGTTGGTACGTCTCAGCCAGCTCCAGGGAGCTGAGGGGCAGACCTGCTGCCTCCACCTTGGTAGTGTTAGTGCGGTGGCAGTGGGCAGAGGAGCCCGCGGGCTGGAGGATAGGCAGGAGGCTCCAGTGGCCAGACAACTGCTGGGCACCTTAGGTTTCTCTCCCCTTGCACTTGTGGCTGAACAGGGAACCCCAACAGGGAACTCCTGCTTTTCCTAGGCCTGGGAATGAAAGGGATTGTAGTCATTCATTTGCTACTGAGTCCTGATAAATGGAACCACAGAGGACCCGATGTGACTATAAATACCCCTGGAAAAAATAAATAAATAAATAAATAAAACGAACCTGGCAGAGATGAGAGAGAGAACTTTTTTTCCCCGACTTGGTTTGTTTCTCTCTGTCAGGAGCTCTGATGTTTCCATATTCTTTTCTATAAATCCTGTCTTACCACTGATCTATGGTCCGTGGATTCATTCCTCAAAATCACCAAGACCAAGAACCTACTGAAGACGAAATTCCAGTATCACTGTTAATGTTACTTACTAGAAGCTTTAGGGCCAATGGGAATATGGGGAAGAAACAAAAACATAAATAAAAACAGTTCAGCAGGTGGTAAGGAAAGGCACTTGCATGGAGGGCAGTGGACTGTCCAGACTTAGAAATATTTTAAAGGCTAGAGAAAGATTGTAAAGGTATGTTCTCGTTCCCCCACAGATTCTTTGTAAGAAATGTTCATAACACATATCACACATACAAGATGGTTCTTTCCCACACTCTTCTCTCCATAGACACTGAGTTAGAGAATCACATTTTTGTACTCAAGAAAAAGGGGAAGTTTTAATTAAACACATTCTACATTACTCTGTTTGGTAGCACAGCTAAGGGGTTGGTGTGTGGGCTGGGAAACATCAGTTCATTTCTGCAGACTGTTGTTCAAAGAACAGAAGGCATTGTAATCCTCTCCACCCTTCTATATACTCCCTGGTTACCTTGTTTTCACAGCTAAAAAGCATAGCTCCATAGAATGTTTCTAATCTGCATTCTCAAGCAAGACTAGGAGATAGATTTAATTAAAATTCAAGTAAACAATCAACCAGCGCCTACTAAATATAAAACTTGGCGATAGGCAGCAAGAGCCACACAGTGATGAGTAAAACTAGTTCCTCACGGCAGGAAAGCACCTATCTTTGGAACCATTCCAAATTGTTTATGAACAACAAACCTGTAGTAACAGACAGAACAAACTGAACACTGAGGTAGACTAAAAGCAATACACCGTGAGAAAACTGAGCAAGAAATAGTATCTGCTTCATGGCATCACAAGGGAAAAGAAGAACGCTTCTGAGTGCAACGGCATTTAATTTGGCAGGAAGGATAAGGTGACCAGACGTCCCGCTTTTGGTGGGACAGTCCCAATTTTTAACAATTTGTCCCATGTCCCGCAACGTTTTAAAAAAGTCCCAATTTTTGGAAAGAATGCATGACAAGCTAGGGAACAGCGGGGCAACGGGAAGGGAATATAGGGTTTTCAGCTGCTGAAAAGGTTAATGTAACTCCATTTGGGAATGAAGAGGTTAATGTAACTTCATTTGGAAATGAAAAGTCCCTCCTCCCCTCCTGGGCAAGGTCCCCCAGCGCCCTACTCCTTTGAGCCACAGGCACTTCTATACATATATTTTTTTTAATGTATTATATTTGTAAATTGTACTTATGTTGAAATTAAAAATATATATATATTACAATACTGTTTTTGTGTTCTATGAAAATTTTTGTTGCTCCATATAGACCAAATTTTTAATTAAGAACACCCCCCCTCCATCAATGGTGTCCCGCTTTACCAATGTTAAAATCTGGTCACCTCAAGGAAGGATGAGTCAGCACCGAACTTCAAAGATGGCTGGAAAGAGTAAGCGGCCTTTCACTGGGACCTCTGCTCAAACACCACCTTGTTGGAGGGCACCTTGCTTTCATTTTCCTGGTTAATACTTGGAAATTCTTCCTAAGGTGTTTTGCACACAGTGACTTTTTTGATAAAATTATAATCAATAGGTATTAATTGGTTCTTATGACACAGAATATTTTTTGGAGGGTGAAGAGAGTTTGAGGTTGCTGTGAGCTGTGATGCCATAGCACTCTACCCAGGGAAAGAAAGAAAGAAGAAAGAAGGAAGGAAGAAAGGAAGGAAGGAAGGAAGGGAAGGAGGGAGGGAGGGAGGAAGAGAGGGAGGGAAAGAGAGAGAGAGAGAGAGAGAGAAAGAGAAAATGTAAACTGAAGGATGATTTCATCACATGGAAAGTAATTACAATTTTAGAAAACTAAGACCAAAGATTAAGAATAAAAGCAGTTTTATTAATATCCTTTTGCTATTTACCCCTAAAATACGTGTTTTACTAATGTGGCAAGATGTTTTCTATAATTTTTCAACTAACTGTGGTGAGCACACATTTTAATATTCTGAATTGGATAAACTGACTCATCCAACTGGGAAAATGGTCTAAAGAAAAATGTAAGTAATTCAGATTAAAAACAAAAAGAAGTAAGGCATGAAGGAATTTAAATAAGCAGCAATGGATATTTACCAAAAAATTGGAAATTTCTGAAAACACAGGAAATTCCTATAATTCTACCACTGAATTTTTCCTCACCATATTAAATCATTTTTGAAAAAAGTGCATTTTAAATATATCATACTTAAATCATTTCCTAACTTGAAAATGGTTTTGCTATTATAAAAAATGTTGCAATCAACATATTAATTTATAAACATTGTTTTCAATATTCAAAGTACATTGTAAGAATAAAATGAGTTAGAAAATGAGTGGAATAGTCACGTCATTGTATTCCAGAAGGAAGGCTGGTTTTCATTTAATCTTATTCTCAATTACTTTGTAATACTATTAAAGAAGTGGGGACGGGTCGGGGATGTGGGAATACTACATAATTGTCTATCCAGATGAAATGACATATTCTATGTATCTTCTTTGAGTCATTACACTGTGTAGTTTCTGCTATTCATCTTTGTATCTCAGAGCCTTGCACAGTGGCACATACCTAGCTTCTTGACATAGGTATGCTGGGTTGGTAGTGCTGACTTATATATATAAATCTATGACAAAATATGATATGGAAACATTAGTGTCACTCGAGTAATATTAGAAGTATCATTTTGGTGAATATAATATTTTAAGTATCATTTAATGGCATAATTTTCCTGATAATTAATAAACCTATTCTGTTATTTGAACTTGAACACAGGTTATATATTTGAAGGAAGATTCAAATACTTAGGCTTAGTTATTTTTTTTTCCAAGGTAGACAGTTAATGTGCCCATGTTGTAAGAAGGTTTGTGGGAGACGCGTTGTACGCAGGCATGTGAAAACCCGATCATCATGCTTACGAACTGCAAAGGATCTAAGCTTGGGTATTTCTGATTGGTACTATCAAACTGACATGGGCTGGGTGTGGTCTAGGAGCACATCAAGCTGGAATGGGAACTATACAAAAAAAAAATCATAGTTTTCAAAGGGAGTAAACAATAACTTGATTCTATTATTGAGATACCCACCCCCAGTGAAGCCACCGTGGAATCCATTCTGGTGGTGAATTGCAGGAAGATAGTTTCATGGGGGTCTAGAAAGGAGAGAATTGCAGGGAACACACCTGGAGGGAGGAAGACTATGGCTATTTTGAAAGGGATGTGTAATCCAAGAACTACTATGGATAGTTACAGATTCTGTGAGTTTCTAAAGTGGATCAAATAGCAATCATAGTAAACATGTACCCGTTACTTGCTATATGCCAGGCCCCTTTCTCCATGTTAAATCAGAATGGGTGTGAGTAGGAACCAGGTATCGATACTTTTTAAAAATGCCCCAGATAATTCTAACCGGTAGCAAAGACTGGAAACCACTCACGAACCTGCAATACAGATATTCTTGTTTTCATTCTATTAAAGTGGACACGGAGTTACAAAGAGGTGAAGTAAATTGGCAGGGTCAAAGAGGTGAAAGGTTGAGGCAGGAGTCTAGGTGTTCCAGTCCCAGAGCCTTTGAGCTTCACCACTGCAGTGTTTCCCAGGGTTTTAGTTTCTAATTTCCAATGAGTAGCTTTGAATTTTGCAAGTTTAAAGGAATTTTCCATGCACATCCTAAACAATAATCATTTTCGATTACAGTACTGCTATGTGGTTACATTTTCCTACCACCAGCCGTGGCATTGCCCCCTCGGGCAGCACAGGGCTGTGGAGGCCCGCCCTTCTCTCTGTTCTGGTGTCTCAAAACGCCAGGTGTTACTATTGACATTTATCTTCCGACCCACAGAAGCCCGTATCTGGGAACTGGTTGCACTTGAGCAAGGAAAGAGACTTGGTGTCAACGCAAACAT